TAGACTAATGCAGGATCATACACTTAAAAAAAAATAAATAAAATCAAAGATAACAAATAAGGAAGGATAATTCAAGCTAAATTTTTTGTTTCTTACTACTCTGGCATCATTCCTGCTACTTTTTTCTGTTCATCTTAAGTGAAATCATATCTTAGGCCAATTCTTTCATTAAAGTAGTGCTCTAATTTAGGTTTACCATGTGACTTAGAAGACATTTTATTTGTGTAATTCTGCAACATGGTTTCCCTAGAGTCACTACTGTGTTGGGAATCAATAAGAAGAAAGAACACTGAGGCTTTTTCTAATTCATCTTGTACATATTCATAAGCAATCTAGCTCCAAATAAGCTCTAAATAATAACATGCATGGCCTTACAATGTACAATGCAAAGTTTTTTTTGCTATCCTAACTCACTCTGACTGATTTTGCAAACAGATGCTCTACATACTTTTCTTAATTAAATACCAAGACCCAGATTTGAATGTTGGCCCATGCCAACAGAAGATAGCACAAACTTTGGCACCAGACCAAGACCTTTCTTTAAAGAAAGATGCACACACAAAATGAGGAGAACAGAAAAGGAGAAGGAACTGCTAATAAATGATGGAAGAAGAGGTGGAAACTTGGTTTTGCGAGCTGCGTTTCTCCCTGGCTTCCTTCCCTAACTCACTGGTCAGGTTATTTCTTTGGATTAATTGGATACCTTGGACTTAAAGTCATTGGTAGCCTGGGGCTCAGCAGCTAACAGAGCTGGAAAGCTTTCAAGGCTGTATGTTCTCCCAGTCAGTTTCAGACTCTTAACCTCTCCAAGGTCTATTACCTACATTTCAACATACAAATTTTAGTGAACTGATTAATAGCCAGTGTTTTTGTTTAAAAGTCATAGTGATAACACTGTCCTTGTGTCAGTGTGAAGTAGCGTTTGATTTATTTTTATCTTTGCTATCTTTTATGCATAACTTTGCAGGACAAACATTCAAACTTTTGTTTATTCGATCCAAATCAAGGCCCCTCAGTCTATCATCTGCCTTTTCTTACCATGTGTAGACACAATTTTTGGTGCTCCTTCTCCCTTCAGTAGTTTTAGAGGAAAGTTCCAGGAGCCAGCATGAAGATCTTGCTAGTTAGAGCCAAAGCATTGCATTTGCAAATCACAAAAAAGCATTTTACTTGGTATCTTTCTCCTCTGACAGTCCCTGGTGCTGCCTCTCTTGTGATTGCTTCACCTCTGTATCACCTCTGAATCTGTTCTTTTCCCCAGTTTCATCTTTTCCATTGAGTCATCCTCATTTCACAATTTTCTTTCTGTTTATCAGATTTGCTTCTCATTCAATGCTTCACAAGTGAGAGACGAATATCTGTGGAGTGACTATCCTAATTTTTACCATCATTCCAGTGAGTTTCATTGCCTATGCTTTCCCTACCCCACATATGTCTCATCTTCAAGCAGCGCAGAATGGAGACTGACCACAAATTTTTGTTTGCACATGGATGCCTCATTCATATTTGGCCTGCAGTCAGTATTAGAATGAGCATGCTTAGCACTGACACATAGAATCAAACTAAGCAGGACCGGAACCATACAGTTTCAAGATATTCTAAAGAAAAAGAACTTGTATTCTAATCTCACTCTTACTTTTTTAATTCCTTAGTTTCAGGCACTGGAAAAAAAATCTTCAGTGGCTTTATTTCACCAATCTGCTTTTTTTGCTATCCCCAAGTGTAGTTTAAGGTTCATGATGTTCATGGATAAAGATGTCTGGTTTTTATGGAGAACTGAATGCTTTGCACAGGCATAAACAATGATATTCAGCAACTGGAGATGCTCAGTCAGGTATTTTCTTACTGCAAAATGTGCACTGATTGAGACCCCTTGAACAAGAATTGCCACAACAGGCTCACAGGCCATTCCTGCCTTCTCCACACTGTATCTATTGTGTAGAAATACCAAGAGAAAATAGTAAGCACAGCATGGAGTTGATAACCCCTCTTCTCCCAGATCTCAAGCATTTTGAGCATTGTCCAAGTCCATCTGCTCTACACTATCCTACTTCTCAGCAATGAAAGAGAACCAGAGGTCTTTGACTGGGAGACAAAGCAGAGTACAATGATTCTCTTACCGTATCTTCACAATAACGTGATCTGAGTGCAGGTTATTCTTGGCATGCTAGTGGAGTTTCACCTTGGCTGTGTATTCAGCAATATTCAGATCTAGCTCACTTTCCACAAAAAAACTCCTGAGCATCAGACTGTAACCATAGTTAAGGAATGGAGAAGATCCCTGATTAGAAGACTTTTGACAGCAAACACACAAACTAATGTCTAGATCTCATAGATAATGTGGTTTGGTTTGGTGTGAGTGTGTGTGTCTACCTGCAAAAACAGAAAACTGGGTGACGAAAATGGATCACAGAAAAAAAAAAAGTTAAAACTAATTATATCCTTCTATCTAAACTTCCTTTCAACAGAAAAATAAAAATAAAAATTGTGTTGATATGTAGCTTATTACTTCCATTCCTGTCAAGCATGACAATACCGTCCCAGTCAACAAACTTTTATGCATGTCCTACTTCATGGTATCTTATCAGCAATAAATTGCATTCCTAATGGGTGAATAAAGAGATTTCAACATGCCAGAACCAGGACTAGTATTTACAAGTCTACTCAGTGGACAAGCAAAATGAAAAGGATTATTACAAACTATTTTGAAGAGCCAGCTATGTAATAATTAATTTTAAAATTGTGAAGGGTTTTTGTATGCACCGTGACAAAAATAAAGTTGTTGCAAAAATAAAGTTGCAGAGTGTGATGTATCCCTTTCTTCCTTTTAAGTATAAAAAAAATTAGATGAACTTTTTTATTTTCCTTTTTATGCAAAAGTTAAGAAAATATTCATTGCATCAAAAGCCACAAGAGCCACAAGAACAAGCAACATGATTGACAGAAGGCTTTAAAAGAATGGTGACTTTTTTGGCTAAAGCAATCATAAGATCACAGTGCAGTAGAAATGGCTTTGGAAGAAAGTTGAAACCATGCTGAACCCTCTTATTTAACTGCAAAAACATATTACTCATGTGGCAACAATTCTGACATTGCCTTGAACTGTTCTATAGAACTTTCTGCAATTCATTTTGGATAAGAAAAGTAAAATATGATTCATCTAGTGTGCTCTGTTCCCCAAATATATCGTGTGCTATCCAATTGGATTTTACAATGCAACATATAGAAGATCGAATCCCAGTGAGACAGTCTCATGAATTTATCACTTAGGGCTACAGATACACTATACTGTGCCAATTATCAGTTTTCAAGAGTAAGGTCTCTCTGCTTCAGAGTACCGCGGTCACGACAATGCATCAACTATACGATGACATTACACACTTTTATAGGCACAATTAAAGGGACTGAATGAGTTTGCTGAGTATGTTCTCTGTATGGGGTAATGCTTAACTGTAATAATTAAATATTGAATGATGCATGCGAGTTGTGTCACATGACCTGATTAGTCAGAAATAGTGTTTCCACTCTTTGGAATGAGATTGCTATCAGTTGCAATAAAACAAGCAAGACTCTACTTGATGTGAACTGTGTGCTGCTAATATGGTTGAGACTTTGAACTTGTATATAAAACATTTGAGAGGCTTAATTCTAAGGAGCTGAAATGGAGGTAGAGCAAACAGTTTCAGAACCTGATTGAAATGACAGGAATGGAGGTATGATTAATGAAATGGTTTTAGAAGAGTCACTAGCAAAACTGTTTCTCAAGGAAAAAAGTTGTGCTGGTTTTGCCTATGCCCTAAAGCACGGTAATTTCAGTCTGATTTCTCAGTCCTCCATCTGAATTGATTTCTCTAAGGCATATTCTTCTATCTGGAATTTGCTGGACTCAAATTTGTTTGATCATGTGACTGTGTTTGTCACACAGAGACTCCTTTGCCATCTTCTGCTTATGTTTCTTCTTGCCTTGCAGAGAGGTCAGGACAGTTTAAAGATCTGGGCAATCACCAATTCATGAAATTTAACAAGAGTAAGTGTCAGATTCTGCACCTGGGAAAGGGCAATCCTGGCTGTGCGTACAGACTGGGGGGGTGAGATGCTTGAGAGTAGCCCTGTTGAAAGAGATCTGGGGGTCAAGAGTACGTTGAACATGAGTCAACAGTGTGTCCAAGCACCAGGAAGGCCAACTGTATCCAAGAGTGCATCAGGCCCATGCAGCCAGTGGGCAAGGGAACGGATCGTCCTACTCTACACTGCACTACTGTGGCCTCACCTTGAGTACTGTGTGCATTTCTGGGTGTCACAGTACATAAAAGACATGAAACTATTAGAGAGTGCCCAAAGGACTACAAAGATGGGGAAGGTTCTAGAAGTGAAGATGTATGAGGAGCAGCTGAGGTGCCTCAGTTTGCTCAGCCCAGAGCAGAGGAGCTGAGGGGAGGCCTCATGGTGGCCGCAGCTCCCATAGGGAGTGGAAGGCAACGCTGAGCCCTGCTGTCTGTGACAGCGACAGGGCCCAGGGAACGGCGTGGGGCTGTGTCAGGGGAGGGGCAGGTTGGGTGTTAGGAGAAGGTCCGTCACCAGAAGGTGGTAGGCGTGGAACTGGCTGCCCAGGGCAGTGGTCATGGCACCGAGCTGATGGAGTTCAAGAAGCATCTGGACAATGCTCTCAGACATATGGTCTGATTTTTGGGTAGTCCTTTGTAGAGCCAGAAGTTGGACTTGATGATCTTTATGGGTCCCTTCCAACTTGGGATAATCTATCATTCTATGATTCATCTGTGCATAGCAGTTACCAGAAGCTCAAGCCTATCTCCTGTCCCAGTCCTGCCTGCACGTGGAGGCCCCACACTGCTCCTCACACTCAGGCTGTGGTCCTTCCAGTTTGCCCTTTCTCTAATTCCAGGGAAACAGTTATTCCTTGGAGGAGGCATGTCCTTCAATCCTCATTCCTTCCTATTGTGGAGGGAGCCTGGCAATAGCAAACGTGGTAAAACATTGATTTTACCCAGACGACACTTCACATCTGCTCCTTTGCTTACACTTTTCTCCTCGTCTGAGGATTTTCCAACAAGTTACTTAAGAGGCAAAGTGAATCCTGTTTCTTCATGTTAAACCTCTTTCCTGTTATTTCAATACAGCTTTTCTGTTTAGTGCAAAAACTTTCATGACACAGAGTTCTCTGTCTCTGGGGTGTGGCTGCCCTGTCACCCTTCCTTCTGTCTCAGTCAGTCTTTCTGATTTGGGGAGGTTCAAGTACCTTCTCATCCCAAAGGCCCTATCTAACCATAGCTATTTGTGGGTCAACAAGTCCTTTCACATGCATTACTGCTGCCTATGTGAGTATTTTGTGGAAGCTTTGCTTTACAATTGCTTTGTCATATTCTTACTGAGGTCTGTGCTGTTGCTAACAGTCAGAAAGAAGACACAGGGCCAGGTGGGTCTTTGCCCGATCATCAGACAGCATTTTTATTTTTTATGTCTTGTAGGCCTGTACTTACAAGTGTTAAATACTCCCAGGAAGCTCTTGGATGTACTGGGAAAGCAAAAAGAAGCTTCAAAGATGTCTCCCAGTTAAAAGCTTGAATGGCAGCACTGTTGGTTATGCTGTCAACAGTGACAAAGCAGAAAGGACCAGAGAAGATTCTGAAAGAAAATCCTCCTTTTGTTTAGTCATCTTAAACTAGAAAGTAGTTCAGGATCATTCTCTAGCAACAGTTTCTGTTTTTCTGCATTCTGTTATTGAGATCATATAATTTTGAGAGATGCTTCTAGTTAAAAATTTGAGCTAAGCCAGAAATTAACCCCAGAAATTACAAGGGGATTTACGGACTTTGCACCTGCCCCTCCCTTCTTATATCCCTCAGACAAATCCAGACAGAAATACTAGAAACATGCTTATCCAGCAAGCAGAGATACAGAGATGAATACGTTCTGAGCACAAACAAGCACTTTGTTCAACATTAACAGGATGAAACACGGCGCTGTTAAGAGGAGCCTTTGTTGCAAGGATCAGACGTGGCGGATTCTGCAAGCCTGGCAGCCCTGGCAGCATAGCTCTGCTGGTTTAATTATCAGTGATGCTCACAGGGTGGAGGGAGCCTTTGTAGTAGTGGGAGAGCCACAGATCGATCTCCTGGCTGGTCCCAAACCGGCCCAGCTCAAATGCTTTGTCACGTGGGTGCTAGCTGACATTCCTTGCTACTGCTCTGGTGGGGAAAGCAAATCTGTTTTCTAATGAGCAATGACTCGCAAAGCCTATTTATAATGCCAATGACAGGGCATTTGGCACTGTCTTCTGATGCACCTTTTGTATACAAAATATCTGATATACATATGTGATCTGGCTTTGCTTTGCACGGATATGTGCAAACTCATGCGATTCATCAGATGTTCCTAGCGCTCATACAAAGAAATTCGCTCGAGGAAGACAGCTTTGGGTCACAAGCTCAGGTCCCATTTTCATAGCTCAGTTTGCCCAAGTTGAGGAGGAAAACTGTAAATCAGTGTTGATTGAGCCTGGACCAGCTTGGTGCCATGGCTTTGCTGTCAGCTGGGGTTGCTTGAATTCAAGGGGTTTTAAAGAATTTGGGTAAGTTTGCTTTTCTGTGCAGGGAATATATGCACTTGGTGTTTTACCTGAGGACAGAAGTGATCTGTATACCACTGAGAGACAACTTGTTATGAGCAAACTTGCTTGATTGCTTCTGTGCACTTGAGGCTGTTGTTGTTTTAAATTACTTTTATTTCAGAAGCACCTCAAAGACCCTACTACAAAGAGGGCATGATTTTCCTAGCAATATAACATGCAAAACAGCACCTTCCCCAAACAGGTGATGGTCTCAGTATGTCTTGGAGACTAAGAGAAGATACAAGGGAGCAAAAGCACAATGCAACAGAACACTTGCTCACGGCATCCATTAATTGATAGGCAAGCAGGGGCAGAATGCCAGATTTCCTGATACAGCGGCACGTTCCTACTTTTCCAGTCTCCCTGGTTAGTACGTCTGCCTTTGTCTTTTTACTGGGAGGGTAGTTTACAGAAATCCATTATTATCTGATCAATCTTATATTTCTTGATGCAGCCACTGCCCTTGCTAACACAGCGCCTACCCTCCTGCTCTGCAGCCTTTGGAGCTGCGTTCCCAGAAGCATCCCTGAGCGTGGGTGACAAGTCAGGAATCTGTCCTAGCAGATGGGGTACAGGGAAGGCAGACCTCAAGTACATGCAAGCTGCCTTGTTGAAACACATATCAGATTGACCCTGCTCACTGCCAGGACGTCACCTCACCAAGGCCAATCCAGAACTACCAGGAAAGAGAAGGTGCAGAGCCAGCTCTGAACTAGTAAAATTCTACAACCTCTCCAGATTGCTGGCTTGAGTGAATGCAATTAAAAAGATGATGACTAGATCTAAAGAAGAATTTGGGATAATTGTGCAGTGAAAATTTCCTTCTTCGCTGAATCCAAGTGGGGGAAAGAGGAAGTGTATGCTATGGGCAACAATTCACATTAACAACAACTCTACTGCCTTTTTCCACAAAATTTTGACCACAAAAAGCAAGAAGTGCCAGACACTTCAAAAATACTCCCTGTACTTCTTAAGGAAGTGCTCAAAATACAGTGGTGATGGACAGCATTACAGAATATCCAGGATTACATTATGGAATGAACTACTTTTAAATGTGGAATCACCATGTGAACTGGCAATCACATCCCATTCCACATGCTGTTATTTATCTATCACCAGAACCACACATGGTGCTAAACAGACAAAGGAAAAATTAACCCCCCCCGAGTATGAGTTTGATCATCATAATAAGACATAATCAGATTGGAAGATATTTTTTCAATTATTTTTGTTGCATTGTGCTGTTACACATTTGCTGTAAAATGCCAATTTTTGAAAAACGAAAGATTTTGCAGGAAAAGATTAACTAATATGAATTTCTCACTCAACTGTGTTGAGAGCAAATGTCAACACAAAGAAGTGCTTTAGCTGTGTTCTAAAAGAAAACATTTATATGCTACACTAGCTTTTTGCTTTTACGTGTGAGTCAACCTGTATTAAAATTACACTGCTGGTTTTTATTGCTGAGTGATCACAAGGGAGTGTCTTGATAATTTATCTTACATTAAACTGTAAGGATTTATATTTTCCCTCATGCTTTTGTGTAAAACATGTTCTGTAATGTGCTTGTTACTTGAATTTTTTTGATAGTGTGATACAGTGGGGTATGAAACCACATCAAGAATGGGGGTCAGGCTGGTGCTTGGCAGTGAAAAAGAATCACACATGCTTAGAAACACAGGCAGGTTAGAGGAGGCACAGGTTCAGAGTGATCCAAGCAGAGCAGCAGCATAAGAAACAATTCAGTTTCTTGTGGAAGTAGACCAAAGCAGCCCCAGGGCCAGGTGAATTGACAGAGCCTGGAGGGAGGCAGGTGGGGGGGGGGAGCACAGTGTGATGCAGAGCGCATGGATGAGAAGATGGCTGAGCCCAGAAAGGATGTGCTACAGGGAAATGTCAGCATGAATATTTCATATGTTGACCCTTTTTGTAGTTTCGAAGTCTTAAAAGGCAGTGACTGTAACTGATATTAGACTCTAGGTAGATAATTCCTAAACCAGAAGACTGACATATATTACCCAAAAAGTGCAGCTCTTGGCTATGTTCTGCAAGGTAACATACACTGCCACATGGATTCACTGAAGAAGTACCGTCATTATCTGCCAGAATCTTAATTTCCTGTGGAATAACAACCACATGCTTTTTTCTTTCTAGCTAACATTGCATCTTCATAAGAGGGCACGGGAATGTATAAGACTCCGTAGATGCAGGTTGAAACCAGACGAGTTCAGACTACAAATTAGGTGAAAGCATTTTTGCCTATCAGTGAGGGTAAGTAAACATTAACAAGGGCTGAAGTGGATTTTCCACTATTGGAAAGCTTAACATTATAATTGGTTGATTTGCTAGCACCAAACATTGGTAACAAATTTTGCACAAGAATTAAGAGAGAAGCATTCTTTGCTCTGTGCCTTGTACGAGACCAGGCCAGTCTTTTCTGACCCAGGTTGTTGATTACCCTACAGCAAACTCTCCTGCCCTCAATAAGGAGAAATTAGTGAACTGAAACCTAACTGCATATGCCCCAGGTTCCAGCAAAACCCTTTTATACTAAAAGCTATTTCCCAGGCTATACTTTGTATATAATAGCATGCAAGATATAGGATATCCATTGGAGCCTTTTACATCATATACTCTCTGGTAATTGATGCAGTGTCTAATGGATTCATCTAGTGTAGGAGTGAAAACAATACATTCCGTGAAAAGGTTTATGCTCAGACCCTAGAACAGGTTAGTATAGCTTCCTTTCCATCTCTTGAGATCACACTCCCTGCTGGCTTTTCCTGTGAAAACTCTCAAGCAGAGCTCCCATCTGCCTACAAGGCTTTGTGGAGGGGCCAGGACCTCCTGTTTCCGGATTCAAGGACTGGGGCTCTTGTTGCTCTCACCTTCTTCCAGCTGACCTAGAAAAGGAATTTGCCACCTCTGCCATGCAGGGCTATCTTGTTGATCACGAGCAAGACTGTGTGCTCTCCTCATCCTTAGGCCAGATTGGATTGGGCCCTGGGCAACTTGATGAAATGGGTGTCAACCCTGTCCATGGCAGGGAAGTTGGAACTGAATGGTCTTTAAGGTCGCTTCAAACTCAAACTATTATATGCTTCTATGATTACGTGATTCTATGATTCTACGACTGTCATCCACCCTGGGGGACTTTAAGGGCAGCACAGAAACAAAGCATTAAAGGACCTGGAGATGCTTATTGCTGAAAGAAAAGCAGTTATTGAAATGCTTTGCTGGATCAAAGCCTTTGGACTCTTTCAACAAATAGTCAGATATCATTGTGTCATGTGGCTCTTGACAGCAACCTGTACAGCCTGTTTCTCTTAAGAGCTATAATAAGAAAGTCATTGTGTATCAAGTAGAAGATGAAAGAATAAATCTCAAAGTTTACCTTTTCTTTGCTTTAATTTCTTCTGTTGTCATCAAAGGGATAACAAGTTGTTCTTAGGGAATTTAAATATTAATATGGGCTAAAATGCAGGTGAAACCAACAACAAGGAAAACATTTTACTAATCTATAAACTAGACAGAGCAATCTACCAACTGGGAGTAATGCTAAGTAGGCACTTTAAGTTACTGTGCGGAATGGGTTTGATCAATTCACTCCAAGCCACATTAGTCTCATAAAAGCTGAGAGTAGCTTTTTCTCCCAAGGGTTTCCTTTGAGGGATATTCCTCTCAGAATGCAGTATCACAGAGGCAATTAAGGATGATAATGTTTTTTGCATATACTAAGCAACTGACTAGTCAACATTGATCAAGATATGCTTTTGTCATTTTTTAAAATGCTTTTCCAGGTTCACAGTATAGTTGCTGTCTGAGATGACAGAAGCAGTAATGAGTAGTTAATATTATCATACCATGACTCTGGGAAGTATTTCAGACAAGCAAATGCCCTCCAGGAACTAGCAGGAAAAATTGTGTTCTCATTAATAGTGTGTGTGTGCTCTTGGCCAGGTGGAAAAGAATATGCTTGGAAATATTATGGATTTTTCTAGCATCACTGGCACATTCTCATTCTTCCCTCCCAGACAAATTGACACTAATGCTCCCCGTCTTGATGACTACATGCTCATTACAGATGCTGCTTTGCTTGTACATCATTACTGTCCCACAAGCATGTAATGTATTGCCTAGAAAGGATTTCTGGATATTTTCCCTGATATGAAGTCGCAGAGGCTTATATTTAGTCCCTTGCCTGATGACAACCCTACCTGCATATATTCTCTCTCTTTCTGTGTTTCTCAAAAACAGATGTACACAGGCTTGACTTTGAACTCTAACACTTATCTCATGACATAAATTCCTTCAATTAACCAACACAATGCATTAGTGTAATCATTAGCCCTAGCCTGCATTCTCTTTTGGAATAGCTAAGCAGAGTTGTAGTAATGTTGTCATGATGCATACTGTATACAAAATTTGAAACTAGGCTCTAAAGTGTTATTGGTGAAGGACTTGGTATGATAATGTCCTTGCTTCAGGGTTATTTACATAAAAAGCTGTCTTATCTTTGTAAGAAACCTACTTGCCTCTATGCTTCCAGCATAAGGACACTATGCATTACCTTTTCCTTTGAAGGATCATCATGCCTTTTCTTTATGAACTTTCTGCCCATTATGACAACTTAAGCCTTAAAACAAGTGAAAGGATACATTCAATGGTGCCCTTGAAAGTGCAGGACCATAAAATGGAAAAAGAAAATTCAGCATGATTAGAAGCAGCTCAGTTCTGGGCTTATTTGCATATTTTAGACTTTTCTATCCTTTAAAAACGAAATAGCCATGTGATCCAATGTTAACAACGGCTTGACAAATCCATGGTAGCACCCAGAAATATGCAGTCCAGAGGAGTGCAATACTCCCATCATGATCCTAACAACAAAGTTCAACTTAGCCAAGAGAATTTTTTTCCTCATGAAGTATGAGGGGATGCAGAAGGATCTGGGAATGTGACCAAGCACCATGGAATCACAAAGCAGAACTTCCACCACCAATATTCCTCATTGAACCGTTCTGTGTCTGTGCTAAGCACTATGCTAACTCCCAGGACCTGAGTGCCCAAACAACTCCTGGGTTGTGGCAGGAGCAGAGCATACACCAGCCTTGTAGCTTTGTTGACAGGGAACTAGGATATCATTCTTCACAGTTACTGGAGCAAGGATTCTTAGAGCAGCAGAGTTTGTGTCTCCTGTCCTAACTCTTTGCAAGGGCAGTCTGAGTCCTCATTAGGAACGTCACTCTTGCAAGGATCTCTGTTGCAGAAGGAGATTAACTTAACCATTAACTAAATGAGCACTCACTGATGGATGGTACTGAATTACAGTAGTTTTATCACTGAAATCATAGAATCATTGAATGGCATGGGTTAGAAGTGACCTTAAAGATTACCTAGTTCCAATCTGCTAATGATGTTTTATAAGAAGTTCGCAACAGCCTCAAACAATCCAGCATTGTTTTTAGCATGGAGAGTGCAGTGGTGCTGCTTAGTAGGAGTTGCTTATTCCAGACATGAGGTATTCATGCCCCTAGCAATAATTAACATACCCTCAAGAAAGTGCTGGGGGCTGGGAGCCTTCCCACTGCTCTGTGATAATAGCCTTAGTCACACTTTACAGTACTGTGCTACTTCCACACATTTACCCATAGCGAATCACTTGTTTCTAGGGTGATTCACAGCCACGGCTGCTTCCCATCTTCTTGGGGGTTTTCTGCAATGTGAGGCTTCCCACAGGTTCAGTGACACTTCTGCCACGGGTCTGTCCTTGGCTTTCAGCCTGCACTTCTCTGCTGGCCAGAGTGGTGCGAGGGTGGCAAAGAGAGCAGATTGGCCTGGCCCCGCGGAATGTCATGTTTCACCAATGGATGCTGTCAGAGAGAATACAGCAGGTCAGTGCCTTGGCAAAGCTAATTAGCACAGCCACGTCAGCTGCACTGCGGTGGGTGGCACATTGCCAGCTGATGCCAACCCAGGATCCCATTCTATCTAGGAAAAGCAGAGTGCATCTGGGCTGGAACAATGCTTGGGAAGGGATTACCAAAAGTGAAAGGAACACCAGGTTTTTGCTCACTTTTCTTCATGCGAGCTGTTTCCCATATGCTGAGGCAGGGCAAGCTGGACTTTGTGGATGCTTTTTTGGCTCTCACAGGATTGCAAACCGTTGTAAGCATGATTTTCTTATTAAGATCAGAAGAAGCTGTGAAAAGCTTCCCAAACACGCTGAATTTCTATTATACAGGGGACTCCATCCCATCCCTTTCATTTTTTGGTGATGGGAGCAGTAAAAGCAGAATTTGCCACCCTGCATCATCTCAATCCCCTGTCACTTGAGGTCCCCAGGGGGGAAGTGATGCTGTAGCAGCTGTTCTGCACCAGGGGTGCACAGGGAGGGTTTGCTGTGTGGGCTCTCCTGCTGTGATCCACTGTGATCTACAACTGCAAATTGCTGAATACCAAGTGCATGTTGAGTGCTGACAGAAGCATCATAACACATTGCAAGTGCTTCCATCCTCAGCAAAAACAAAACATCAGATGGCAGGAGGCTGCTCTCTGATCCACAGTGCCGTGGGACAGGCCATGCAGGCCCTCCCAGACACTCCAATGGCATTCAGGATACCAAGGAAATAGCATCTCACGAAACCTTCCTCTCAGAGTCTCCCTCTCAGAGTGGTGTTTTTTTGTTTTGGTTTGGTTTGGTTTGTTTTTTTGCTGCTTAAGCCTTAAATAAAATGCCCAGCTAGTTGGAGCATATTGCTTCAGGCACAGCTTCATTTTCTGTGGTTTTGACAGAGCTCAGGCAGAATTTTTCTAGCTTTCATGGATTGTGGCTAAACTTCTTGCATAGTTTGTCTTCCAGCAGTTCCCAGATGTCTCATCTGGCACCTCCCTGACATAAATTTCTGGGGAAGAAAGATGTAAAAAAACATGTCAGTTATCTGGCTGGAATTTTTTTCTTGCTGCAGTGCTGTAACAGTGTCGATAAATACTGAGGAAAACTGGCATCAGCTCCAATTTTCTCTCCAAGTGCCAGGACAGGTCCAGTATTGATTCCCTGGTGTTCTGCAGTCTTTGTTAATAGGTACTCTCAATGTTTTTGTGCATTGCTCTGGCCTACTCCTTTTTACACCCATTTTTCCTCCAAGCCCTTGAAGGTTTCCCAGAAGCTACATTTGCTTCTGTGCTGCTGGCAGCCACTGCATGGACAATCACATTTGAACAGCAGGTTTCTGGGAAATGCTTCTTATTCACAGATCCAGTTGCCAAATGCTGTTTGTTTTATTAATTCCGTGAGAAATTGTCTTGATCATTTGCCCAGATCTGTTTAGTACTTAAACTGTGAAATTGATTTGAGTAAGATTTAAGGGATGCATAATATAACTCATCATACCTCCCCAAATATATCTGATTCCTGGACAAGGTAAATCCAGCCAATGTGTAGCTAATATTTAGCTTGATATACAGACATTGCATTTATGAACAAGAGTACCAAGTGTCTATAGCCTTTACAGATTCAGCTAAGAAGCAAACTGTTAAGCTGAACAGGTTGAAACCTTTGGTAGATCAGCTGGAGGGATCCATATCACACTGGCACACGTTTGAATCAGTCTTGTGCCTCCGTGCATTTGATCCTAGTGGTATCTGAGGTTTTCTGCAAGACTCGTTCCACCTTCCATCTTCCCGTGTTAATCAAAGTGGCTTCTCTGGGTTGCCCACATGCAGAGATCACAGAATCATAGAATTTTTAAGGTTGGAAAAGACCACAAAGATCATCTACTCCCACCATCAACCCATCACCCATGCCCACTAAATCATGTTCCTCCGTGTCAATGCTTGGTGCCCCATGTCAACTAAGGACCCGAAAGGACTGCTTAAAAAACACAGAGTTGTCCCGTGGCTTTTTTTCTCCTCGCTTTCATTTTTCTCCTCGCTTTCATTACTCAAATACTTGGACCTTGAGCTGCTGAGGTTAGCGATTGCCCTCTGCTCCACTTGGGGCACTGCCCATCATAATCCAGTCTTGACGTCTGACTCATTCCGTGCTATCTAGACACTCACCTGTTGTAACAGTTTTCTTAGAAAACAGGCTGCATTTCCATGCTGCCCACTTGAGAAGCTGAAGCTGTCTTTGAAAGTAGTTCTGAATGAGAGATGCTGACAAAGACTGCACTTGTTACATGGTGCAACTGAGAGGGCTTAGTCAGAGGAAGGCACTCAACTACAATCTTAACTATTTTCGGTTATTTCTGTAGTATTTGTGTTTGCAGGCTCTCCACAGTTTACTTTAGTTTGTATGTGCTTCTCCACAAATACGATTAGCAGGAACACATCTTTTTTGGAACTGGTAAGCTGGCTGCTGCAGGAAGGCAGCAGATGCATATGGGTATTTTTTTACTGGTGGCTTTTGAAGTGATTGATCAGAGTTTTCTCAAGACTGCCTCAAAGAGTATCAGTCTCACTATTAATGATTTGATTTCAAGGTGAGCTCATGGGTATGGCAAGTCCCCAGCACAGTAATTACTTGGGATGTTTAGAAGCAATGAGAACTCCTGGAAAATTTGATAGAGTGCTCATTATATCAGAAAGGTTTTTAATGATTACTTTCTGTTCAGAGATGGAGGAACAAAATAAAGTAGATGTTCCACATATATCCTGAGCGCTCATGAATTAAAATTCCTTGCATGAGGATGGTTGCTCATGGTTGCTCTAATAAGACGTATCTCAACCCTCACAGGAGATCTGGCTCAGAGTCAGACAAGGGCTGGCACTTCTATTGTGGCACTGCCTGGGTTCTCTCTGCCTCTGCTGCCAGAGACTCAGTTTCCCTCTCTTCATCTCTCAACTCCAACAGATCATCAATCTTTTTTTTTTTTAACACTCTCCCTGTTCAACCCTTCAATCAAAAACTTTCTTTTTTTTCCCCCAATCTTCTTCCTGGTTGAGCATTATATCTTTCTGCATTATACGCAGCCTCAGTGTACAGTGTACCCTTGTTCATGGCGTAGTGGATGTATTTCCAGGATAAAAGGCAAGATGATCTTCTTACTCCAGATGAATATGATTTGTTATGGACTCCTTTAAAGTAAACCAACCCTTTTCCCACAAAGAACATAAAACCTAGGATATTTCTGTGGCTCTTTTTATGGTTTCAGGTTTTTTTGCTGCTAAATTGAGTTGAGAATACAAGTGCACGGAAACTTAGCTAATAAAGTCCAAATCAGATTCCTGTCATCTAAATGGAACAGTTCATATGATAGCATGCCAGGAATTGAGCCAGGATTTCCATATATGTTTTGAACTGAAATGAATGTATTCCAGTAATAGTATGGAAGGTAAACCACAGAGGTGTTGGGATGTGATGAATTTATTATGATACGACGTGTACTTTTAATATGAAAATAATCTCTAAGATTTGTGAAGTTTAACACATTCTTGGATTATAAAAATAAATTATTCATAAATAATTTCGCTTAAAAATTTGACACTTCATAAAGCATAATTTCCAGTAATATAAGCATACTTATCCTTGAATAGAAGTGTAAATAGTCATATGTTGATATTACAAAATCAAAAGTCTTTCATTATGCTAGAATCAAGTATTTGCAGTCAAGTAGAGAGATTTCTGCGGCGGAGAAATAAGTATTTAAAAATTAATAAATATCTTTCTGAGTCATCTGAAATCTGAAAGAAATGTTCCTAAATTTGCCCTGTGCTTCAAAAGGATAAGGAATATACTCACTGCATATCAAATAATAGAAGATCTGGTGTCTAAGCTCCTTTTGAAAGTAAATAGAGCTCTTCCCCTGCCTGAGGACATGTGGAGATGGGCGACAATCTAGCCGCAACACAGCTTCATTCCCCACAAAACCCCTAACTTTCATGTGATAGCTGGTGTCTTGTTCATGGCATTCAGGAAATGGTAAGACGAAAGAGGTCCACGCCAGGTCTTCTTACTCATGTCAGGACGTGCTGCCTGGCTAAACAGCCTCATCTGCACAAGGGCTAAGGTCATTTTTCTGCTGCCAAAGAACTCCATTTATCTCAAGGCAATTTGAGAATATTGAGCATCTTCTGAAAAACAAGGCTGTGTGTATCCCATGTATATGCATAGGCTTGGACTTTTGGGCCAGAGTGCTTGACTGTTTTATTTGCCTGCACCTAATCTCATGCAGCCAGCGAGTCTGTGTCAGTGAGCAGCGCAAGTGCATGAGCCAGTGCAGATTTGTGCAAGAACAGCCACAAAAGGAAACACCTGGATACCACTATTCCCAGAGAGCCACTTTAATACCATCTATGTTTTCTTTTAAACTACAGATGGACTGTGATTTTTAAGAGTTTCTTTTTCCCAAGTAACAGTATTTAAAACGCTGCTTATAACAGCACTTGCTGTTGATCAATACACTAACATGTTGCTCTTGTCCTAATGCAATTTCAGGTGCATGGACATTTCTGTCCTATTGTCTTCTAACAAGCTTGGGTAATTGTAGCACTCCGTCCACAGATCTAAGAAGTGACATGAACCGCATGTTACAGCCACATGAAGCCTGTTCATTGTGAAGTGGAGAGCTGTGGTGCAGCAGGAAAGAGCAGACCCTAATGAATGGTCTAATAAAGGAACAGCTCCCCAAGGGCAGGAAGTGGCATCCTCAGGGCCACTCAGATTTGCAGTTATTCAGGTAACCTACTCAGGAATAATGCATCTTTCTTCCTGTCTTTGAGACTGTACAATGTTTTCCAGTGTTTAAACACTATGTCTTTTGTCTCTTTTTTGCTCACCTTTATTATGCTTCTCTAAAAATCACAATGTTGGGAACTACTTGTCCTCAGTCTCTTTTTTCTGATAAATAACACTAATACTCATTTTAATGTTTCAGACACATTCTCATTTTAAAAAGTAATTTAAATGTCACCAATGTCATCCTACACAAAAAGACGTCAAGCGTGTTGGTCTGCATTATTGGTGTACATATTTTTTAGAAGTTGAAAAATTAAATTCCCACAAAAATAAAACATTGAATGTCATTTTCTTTGTGACTGTTCTTCCTTATTTAGGAACTAATCCATGTAGAACAGATTTTTTTTCAGCCAAATTTTGCTTTCATTTGCATCAGCCTTCCTCAATTTAATTCAACAACAGTGGCTCATAGCACAGTTATAAGAGAACTCTCTTTATGGAGCTTCTGGAACATCTCTGTTCCATAGTAAAAAAAAAAAGGGAAATGAATTCTTCTAAATCTCTTCAGTTAGACATACAGTAAAATCAAACAATTTAGGGAGCATATGGCAGTGTCACTTACACAAAACATGTTATCACCAGCACAGTATGAAGACAGGATGGATAATGTCATAAATCAGGGAAACACAGCAAATAACTCAGAGTGCAATGGCTGTGCAAGAAAGAGCACTGAGAACAAAGAAAGCAGTTACAGAGACCCAGCAAGCCAAGGCAGGATGACAGAGCAACAGAGCTCATGCAGACAGGGAAGACTTCTGCCACAATATGCACTCCAATTTTAAACAGCAAGCAGTTTTTTATGCCTTTTTAATACCATCGCATAATTTCTACCAGTGCTTGTCCATGTTTACGCATCCATCTATCAATCAATCTACCTAAATGTGAAATTATCATGACATCTTAAACACATAACTTGGTTTTTAACATAAGCGTTCCTTGACAACTAAATGTCAAGAAACAATTCATTTAACATAGCCACATTTATGGGGATGATTTCTGAACATACAACCTACATGCAGCTAAACATATGCATTTTCTTGATGTTTTCTGGGCCTTGCTGCTTGATGCTTCAGGCTTGTCTGTGTTTAAAGACAGGGTAGCCCAGGAAAAAGCACAGGATCAGTGGAGGAGCACAAAGAATGTTAGAGGGTTGGCACAGGAAGGCTG